GTTTGGGCAGCTTCAGTCATGAGCAATTTTGCATGCACTTAAGGGCAGATCTTCCTCCCAATAGAGATTTGTATCCTCTTTCTCCTAATGAAACCCAGAGTCTCTTTTGGGCTCATCTGTAAACTAGAGAAAACACAAAGTCAGGACTCATCTCATCCTCCTCCACACAGCCTGGAACTCCAACACAGAAACCACTCTCTGCTGGATTCTCTGTGCTCCCAGCACCACCAGCGTGTGGGGTGAGAACTGTGTGCGGCTGAATCAGGGGCTGCAATTATGATGAAAGTGGATGACTCCTTCGTGACCTTAATCTCAGTGTGCCTTGATGGAGCCCAAGTCGGTCTGTCTCTCCACAGTTGGAGCCTGGCCCCGATTCCAGCAGATTTAATAGCTCCTCATTTATTTTTCCAGTCTTCATCAACATGCTTCTAAGTAATTGTCTTCACATCCCATTACCATTTTCTAGAATCTTCCCTGCAGAGGAAAACCAACACACCAACCCGCCACTCTGGTTAAACGTTGGCAGATGCCTTGTAAAGTTTTCATAAAACACACATTAAGCAATTCAGAGAAAGCCTGTTGTAACAAGCCATTTGATTTTCATGAGCTATCTGCACTGAAAGTGTGTTGTCATATTTACACTGTCTTTCACTTACTAGTTTCCTTTTAAGCTAAAAAAGAAAAAAAAGAGAGAGAGGAGAAATAAAAAAGGTGAGTTCCTGTTCAGGGTAAAGACAGAAATTTTCTTGTTCACAAAGTCTTCCTGTAGCCATGTGGTCTATGCCATATATAACAGACACATGAGCCCTGAAAGACGAACCCTTCTCTGCCCCCAGGAGTACTTCCTCTTTTTTTGTATAATAAGATGTTATTAAGATAAATAAATAAGAACATTTTTTTTCTTTTTTTTAAAAGTAGCTACTTTTGTGGAGGTTGAGGATTGGCCAAACCTTGGCACCCAACAAGAGGTGAAACCAGAAATGGTTGGTGCTTACCACAGGTTGCTGTCTTGTCAGTATGGACTTGAAACTACTCGGTAACTCCCTGCCCAAGGAAAATAAAATAGTCATTCAAAAGCGAAAATCACAAGTTTTAAGCTCTTTTTAGACAAGATAGATGCTTCCTGGAAGACCTGTTCACCCATGGATCATCCGATTGTCAGTCAGTGGCAGCAAAACCAATGGTACAACTCAGTGACCCGACAGTTCTGGGGTTGAACGTAGTCCAGGGATGGGTTTCTTATTTACGTGGAAAGGCAGAGGTTCTGATGTGGACGTTGGGTCATAATTCTTGTCATGTTTCCTATCAAGGTGTGCATCTCAGCAAGAGCCATCGATCTCTCTCTAGTTTATACGAGGGACAGCATTCCAGGCAAGCAGCCAATTGAATAAGGGGTCTGTGTTATACAAAGTTGCAGCACCCGGGGAAGCGTTTGTGTATGTAGGTGCATATTTCTGTGCGTATATATTCACAAGCTTTGTTCAGCCTCAGGTCCCCTGAAAGCAGAGCCTGAGATGAAGGCTTGCACACAGATGGTTTGTTTAAAAAGTGATCCTTCATGGCAAATTGATAGGGGGAAAGTGCAAACAGTGACAGATTTTATTTTCTTGGGCTCCAAAATCACTATGGACAGTGACTGCAGTCACAAAATTAAAAGATGCTTCTTGGAAGAATAGCTATGACAAACCCAGATAGTGTATTAAAAAGCAGAGACATCACCTTGCTGACAAAGGTTCATCTAGTCAAAGCTATGCTTTTCCAGTAGTCATGTATGGATGTAAGAGTTGGACATAAAGAAGGCTGAGTGCCAAAGAATTGATGCTTTTGAATTGTGGTGTTGGAAAGAGTCCCTTGGATAGCAAGGAGATCAAACCAGCCGATCTAAAGGAAATCAAACCTGAATATTCATTGGAAGGACTGATGCTGAAGCTGAAGCTCCAATATTTTGGCCACCTGATGCTAAGAGCTTATGCTGGAAATGATTGAGGACAGGAGGAGAAGGGGGAGACAAAGGATGAGGTGGTTGGATGGCATCACTGACTCCGTGATCATGAGTTTGAGCAAACACCAGGAGACAGTGAAGGCCAGGCATGCTGGCATGCTGCAGTCCATGGGGTTGCAAAGAGTCGGACGCGACTGATTGACTGAACACCAACAAGGCAGCAGGAGTGAAGGATGGAGGGTTCAGTAAAGAGATGTCTAACTGAGTTGACCACTGTATGGACAACTGGTGCTGCCTCCTGAGAGGCCTTTTGAGGAGCTTAGGAAATGCATTGCAGGTGTGTCTGTACAGGCAATGCAGAGGGATGCACTGGCATGCCAGCTCCCACCCGGCACTGGCCAGGGTGGCCCCGGGAACTCCAGCTCAATCGTACCTCCTGGACATACTTGCGAGTCCTAGATCAGACCCCAAGGCCTTGGAGAAGCTCTGGGGCAGAAAGTGGAAGCTGTGAGGTGTAGGGCATGATTTCGCAGATGTTAAGTGTTTAGTTTTATCAGTTTTGATAAATGCATAAGCCTGTGCATGAGATCCCCACCCTAGCAAGATGTAGTCTACTTCCATCTTCCCAGAAGTATCTTTGGATGCCTTCCTAATCAATCCCTTGCAACTCCAGAAGCAATCACTGGTTTGATTTCTATTAGCATATATTAATTTTCTCATCTAAAACTCCATACAGATGTGATCATCTGCTATGTACTATCTTATATGTGGTTCCTTTCACTCAACATGATGTTCTGGACATTCACCCATATGGTTTCATGTCTCTGTGTTTTGTACCTTTTTATTCCCATGTAGTAGTCCGGTGTATAAATCTATCACCATTTGTTTATCCATCCTTCTATTGATTGACACTTTAGTCGTTTCCAGTACATCACTATTATGAATAAAGCTGCTATAAATAAGTCTTTTTCTTGACCTCTTAGACTCCTGGGTCATCAGATAGCTGTATACTTAACTATATAACAAAAGTGGTTGTAACTTGTTACACTCCCACCAGCAATGTATTGGAGATCTGATAGCTCCATAGCCTTGCCAATATCTGGTGTTTTCAGCCTTTTTTCACTTTAGCCATTCTAGTGAGTAGGTACCATGATTTTGTTGGAGTTTAATTTATATTTCCCTGAAGACTAATGACGCCGTGTGCTCTTTCAAGTGTGTATTGGCCATTTGAATATTTTCTTTGGTGAATGTCTGTTCAAATCTTTTGCTCATTTTTTATTGGGTTGTTGTCTTTTTATTATGGAGTTCTATGAATTCTTTACATATCCCAGAATCAAGTTCTTTATCAGATATATGTGTTGCAAATGTTCTTTCCTGGCTTGCCCTTTTATTTTCTTAACAGTGTCTATTGACAAGCAGAATTGTAAAATTTGACTTCGTTCAATAATTGTTTTTTTCTTTGAAGTTAAGGGCTTTCTGCGCCCTCTCTAAATCATCTTTGCGTATTCCAAGGTCGTAAAAAGGTAGTCTAGGTTTTCTTGTAGAGGCTTTGTAGTTTTACAAGGAACATGCGGGATTGTTCTCTGTAGTGTAGGCCAACTTGTATTTCTTACCAAAAAAAGTTGGTAGTCAGTACTTTTTATGAGGGCTTCCCAGGTGGCTCAGTGGTAAAGAATCTGCCAGCCAATGCAAAGCACAAAGGAAACATGGGTTTTATCCCTGGATCGGGAAGATCCCCTGGAGGAGGAAATGACAACACACTCCAGTATTCTTGCTTGGGGAATGCCAAGGACAAAGGAACCTGGCGGGCTCTAGCCCTCTGGGTCGCTGAGTTAGTCATGACTGAGCAATTGAGCATATGCACTTTGTATAACTTCTGAATATGGATGGAGGCATCACCTTGCAGACTGATGGATTACAGAGAGCTTTAAAAATCCCCACTAAGTTCCCCATGTTTACATCCTGATCTGCCCCTGTGATGGTATGTGAATCAGGTTGGGGATGGAGGGATGATTTCTGTACGGTCCTTGAATTTACTTTGGGTGATGCTGTTTGCCTTATCCCAGCCCATATATGCCTGTCACCATATACAGGGTCACTCTGCTGTTGAAACCTGACATATGTTAAATGCCCGTGTTGACACTTCTTTTTTTAAATGAATGGGCTTTTTATTTAACTGGTGGCTGCTGAATTTGTGGGGGCTGCCAGGTCATTAAAATGATGTTTGTTTGAATTTGGCAGAAGGAAAAATTGGACTTATATTTACTTTTTTTTTGTTCCCAAGGCTGTTCTCACCATTCACCACTAACAATACTCTTTTGATTTTATGAAGAAGCCTTTACAGAAAAAAAATGAAGTGCAGAAGAGGTTCATGACATGTTCTAGGCTTCATCGGTATGTGGGGCCTCTCTTCTCCAGTCCCTACAAGTGAAGAAGTGAAGAGGCCCTGGATTATACAAACAAATTAGGAAAGGAACTGTCTTTTCTGAAATTGCATATTAATTGTACAGATTGTCATTGGATCCCAGATGGTCAGTAATTTATGCATTCAGGGAACATCTTCATTTGGGTCTCAGGGGGAAAAGGGCTGGAATCAGAACGCCTGAATTACATTCTGGGTCCTGCTACTTGTTATCAATGTGATCTTCAATGGGTTGTCTTCTCTGTGGGTCTGGATCTTCTTACCTGTAAGATGGAAACAATAACTGCTAGTGCGTCCATCAGAACAGGCTAAACTCTGCTGAGGTCACCACTACCCCTCCAAACATTTGTGCTTTTGTCATAAAACCTATTTTTTTTTTCTTGAGTAAAATTTACGTATTTAATTCTTGAGCGTTCCCTGCGGGTCTTTAGGGTCTCTTCCATGTGGTGACTTAGAGATTAAGATCTCTTTGTATTTTCTTTGTCATCTCACCAAAGGACTCCCAAAGTCACAACAGGGCAAAAAGGGTTATGGAAGAATCTCACTGCCTGGCACCTGCCTTGCCTTGGAAGTGATATTCATCATCTGTCACAGGAGCAAGTCACACTCCCTTGCCCCCACCAATGGGAGGCTGGGAAATGCAAGAGGGCTCACAATGCACTCTTGGCTGAGTTCTTCCTGTTTTTGCTGTGAGTGTCATGTATGTTCTGTGATGCTCAAATGAAATCACAGATTAAAGTGCTTCATCAATTTTTCACAGTATTTATAACAGGATTATATTACTTTGTATTTCATTCAGGTTGTGCTGATTTTGATATGTTTGTTGCTACTTGTATACACTCCTCCCCCCGCCGCCCCCCAGTTGCCTCTCTTCAAAGTAGAAACAGCAACCCTGAGGTTTCTTAAAGGCTGGTTGGCAAACAGGTTCTTCCACTCTACCTTTTTGCACCTAAACACTTGGTCACCCATCACTTGATTAGAGTAACAGAGTGAAAACACATTGGAATGAGTGGAAGATTTGAATTTTAGAAGAAATAAAAAAAGACCTGTAGAAATTTGAACTAGCTGCTGACAATGCTGCCAATTTTGTTTTAACAGCAAAAACGCCTCTACGATGAGCCGCTGGCATGGCATGCAAATCATACATGGAGACCTTCCTTGAGTAGCTTCAATAGGACCCCTATCAATCTTGTTTGTGTTACTGATTTGCTTAGGGAAGCCACTTCTCAAAAAGAGTACAAAGGCAGGCTTCAATGCAGCTCGAGCCAAATTATAATTCTGGAATGAGTGGAATCTGAAATAATGAGGTTTTATTTTCCTTTGCCCTGGGGGTTTCTATGTAGTATTGGAAGAGGAAGAAATATTTGTTTTATTTGAAAGACACACAACTTTCATTGTGTTCAAAGCAGAGTTAGAAAACAAGTCAATAAAACAGCCTCCTAGTACAATGGGACTTGTTCTGGTATTAATTTCACTGTTCAAGGCATTTAACTCAAAAGATCTGGGGTTTTTTCCCCCTCACTATTTGGCTCATTTAATTTTGAACTCGGGGCTCATAAACATAACTGCAAAGTCACTGTCTTTGTTATGAGTTTTCTTTGTTTGTTTGTTTGATTTTCTAAAGTTCTGAGCCACGGATTCTGTGTGTGGTGGATATACTCAAAGTCTTTTCTCAGGAGGGGTGACCCATGCATATGGCCGTAATCCAGAGAAGCTTCCATAGACCTGATAATAACTCTTGCTCTTGTTTTCTTTCTGCACCACATCTGTATAAAACACTGCATGTGGAACATGTGTTCTTAGGCTTGGAATAAAGAAGGGCTATTGGTTATCTTCCCACCTTGGATCCATTCCCCCTCTTCGGTGACATCCTTTCTTCATTATATGCAATCTTGGTGGGACTTTCACTTGAGATGCTCTCCCCTTGCTCAACCAGGATAGGAACACATGACCGAGCTAAGCCAATCAGAATTCTCTCTCCTGGGAATCTGCATATTGACTTTAAGGATGGAAGCCATTAGAATGGACTCTTCTTGAAAGTTGCTTCCCAAAGAGGTTATCATTACTTCCTGCTACCTGAACTCCCAAAGGTCCTCTGAATCTTGGTTTCTGACACTTGATACTTCATCCTTTTCTTTAGTTCTGTGTGCTCCCCAAAGCTTCCCAGTAGTTTTTTTTTTTTTTTTCCAATTATGCTTAGATTAATTCTGGTTGGCTTCTATTGCCTGCAAAAACAAATTCTGTTTCAGCATATTATTTATTTGCCTTTGCCATAGAATCACAGAATTTCAGTAAGATGGAAACTTAAGCTCAAAATGCATTGAAGTGGAGTCTGAAAGGTTGGCCAAGCTCCTTCATGACATTATAACTTCACTTATTAAAAGTGCTCAAATGAAAGTTATCTGAAGACTGAAAATATTTTTCTCTCCTGGATTGTCCGCTGGTCATGAGTTAAAGTTGAAAGAATCCTCTTTATTGTAGACTTACAGTCTCAATCAATCACTTGGCATTGCTACTTGTGATTCTCATAGGCACCTCAGTCACAAAATGTCTAAAACCAGATGCAATTTCCTCCAAACCTGCTCCCCAGGGAGCCAAACAGAGGAGAGATCAGGATGAGAAATGAGTCCTCATTTTCATTCCATTGCAACTTCTCATCTGGTGTCCTTACTAGAAGGGTGATATCTCATAGAATAATTTAGGATTGTATTTTTTCCAGAAGCTTCTAAAAACTCTTCTCTATCTACCTATATTCTTCATTTTAAGTACATTACTAAGTTTGGAATATAGAGAAGAAAAAAAGATGGCATCCAATCCTAGCATGCAAAGAAAACTCCTATTAACATTTTGATCTGGTTCCTTTCCTGTGGATTTTAATGCCATGTGGCTAATAGAAAAAAAAATGCATTTTTCATCTTGCTTTTCACTTAGCATTGTATAATAAACAGTCTCTGTATGGCAATATGGCTTTCATAACCATCTTCCAAAGGGGACTACATATTATTCTAATAAGTGGCTATTCTGTATTTACTCAGCTTTTTCTCTTCTGGACATTTAGACATGTCACATAAATATAGAACACTCAAGTTTTGTACTTACACTTTCCCTGGTTGAAGAACAATTCAGACAGCTCCAAAGTTTGCCATGGTGGGGGATTTGTAAAACATTTTCAATTCATTTGGTTCCTTTACCACTAGAGACAGTCCTGTCTCTAGGACTGCTCAGATATGATTGCTTATCACAACATAAGTATCTGTAGTCACAGAACAGTGGGAAACTTTTATAATTCACATTTGTTGCTTACCCATGAAAGTTTGAAAGCACAAAGGACTCTTTTTACTCCTAGGCACTAGTGTTGGTAAAATTTTAATAATTTGTATTTAATTTCTACCATTGAGTTTATTGGGTTTAAGTTTTGGATCTCAACCTCTTTGGATTTACTTCTGCTCCCTCCCTTATATTTCAGCAGCGAGTGATTATGTTTGGGTTTCCACTCTTGGAGGGCAATCCTTGGTCTGAACTGTTTTCATTTATTTTATTTTAAAATTACAAAGACATTTCCAGTTATATTTGGTTTTGCAATTCATTCCTCCTCTGTTTCACAAAAACCATAAAACCCACATTGTCTGAAAATGCTGTGTTGAGCAAAATGGATTCAGTCCTCCTTAGAGAACAGAAAAGGATGGAGCCAGTATGTGTTATAAACATTTCCAGGGAGATAGTCTCTTTCCCAGAATTGGTTTTAGTCAAAGGCTGCTGACCAGTTGTGTGATTTCATTTGGGGTTGCTGACCCTGGACTTGAACTCAGCTCTGGATGTCATGTAGGCATCTACCCACATCGTATCTGTGTCCTCAATCTCCATTCCTGCTGGTTCAGCCCCTGCTGTTATTTTTTAAGGACCCGAGCCATGTAAAACCAAGACTCTGGATTTCTGAATGAACGCTTCTAATGTTAAACTTGGTGGTTTCCTGTCACAGAAGCAAAGACTCAGTGAATTCTGATCGTTCTGCAATGCGGAGCTTTCTTTTCCGGTTAGATTAAACATCCTCATTCCCTTCGATTGCAACATTTGATCTTCCATGCTCAGAATCTGCAAATTCTTTGAACAGTTTACTTTCAGTAGATTACAACTGGCCTTTCATTTTCCAATCTGAGGAAAACCAAGTGGAAAGTGTGGGTTTGCTGGAGGATTGTTTTTCCTGTCTGCCCTCATATTTAGTTGAGGACTGTGATAGATGGAACTCAGATGGAGGACTTTCTCATGCAGACCCTTGCTTCTGGTAGGCACTTATGTTCCAAACATGGAATCCTACTTGCCCTGGGTCCGATCACAGGTATGAGTATCTGGCCATTGTGGTGGTGCTAGTGGTAAAGAACCCATCGGCCAATGCAGGAGACATAAGAGACATGGGTTTGAGCCCTGGGTTGGGAAGATCCCCTGGAGGAGGGCACGGCAACCCACTCCAGTATTCTTGCCTGGAGACTCCCCATGGACAGAGCAGCCTGGTAGGCTCTAGTCCATGGGCATGCAAAGAGTCGGACACAACTGAAGTGACTTGGCGTGCAGGCATGCATTGTGTCAATGGCATTTGCAGTCTCAATCCAAGACTTGAAAGAGACTTTTGAGAGAATGTGAGACTTGCTCCCTCCACAGAGACCACTTCATGGTCTTCCCTGCAGCCCCCAGCCCTCTTTCCCTTCCCTGAGTGAGGAAGGAAGAAGAGGGAGGGATATCTGGGAGGCACATTGCTCATCATGCTGGTATTCTTGGTTGTTACTGTTGTGCAGTCACTAAGTTGTGTCTGACTCTTTGCAATATTCTCTCCATTCCTGATGGGACTTGAGGGGACAAGTGTGCCTGCTCTTCTTTTTGGCGCACCTTTGAAATCTGAGCATCCCACAGTAGTCTCCCATACATTTTGTATCCCCTCTGGTGCTTACTCACACCACTCTTGTTGTTTTCACAAAGCCTCTGATCTCTGTTAGATCATGAACTAGTTGAGAGTAGAGAGACAATTGATCAGCAAAAGCTTGCTGAGTGAATAAATAGAAGTCATTTCTTGGGGTCTCCCAGGGCTTCTCTGCTGAGCAGAATCCTAGTTGGACTTGAGGAGGTTCACAGATGCTCCATGGACCTTCTTTCCCAGCAGTGGCCTATATCGGTTTCCTGTGGCTGCCATGACAGATTATCATAAACCAGGTGACTTAAAACAACAGAAACTAATTCTCTTACACATCTGGAGGCTGGAAGTTAAAAATCAAGATGTTAGTGGGGCCCCCTCTCTGTCTGAAAGTTCTAGGGGAGAATCTTTCTCTGCTTCTTCCGGGTTCTGGTGGCTCAAGTGTTCCTTGGCTTAGAGCTGCCTGACTTCAATCTCTGCCTCCGTCTTCACACAGCTTCTCCTCTCCTCGTGTCTTCTCCTTTTCTGTCTCTTATGAGGACACTTGTCATTGGATTTAGGAGCCACCTATGTAATCCAGGAGGACATTATCTTGAGATCCTTAACTCAATTACATCTACAAAGATGCCTTTCCCCAAATAGATTACATTCACTGGTTCCGAGGATAAGGATGCAGATATAATGCAATATATGGATATAATGTAATGTAAGATGTGATATCTTCTGGAGGACGACTGTTCAACCTAATACAGCCCCAGTCTGAGCCGTGCAGAAGGGGATGACTGTCTCATGCCCCCCTTCAATTTCACCCACGCTTCCCCACTTTAAAGAGAAGATGGACACCTTTGAAGTTTCCTCTGCTTTTACTTCCTAGGCTGTGCCGCTTGTTTAAACATGGAGCCTCTTCATTAAGCAAAAAGGCCAAACATCCACATTAGTTGGTAATTACTTGTGAATATGCAACTGAAAAATGCATTCTTAGAAATTGCCATTTCATTACTTAATAATATGTTAATCATTTCTGAAAGGCTGTTTGGAAGATGTCCTTTTGACGTCAGTCAGCATTTGAACTTCCTAAGCACTGATGAAAGAACGAAATCCCTCCCTGTTTCAAGGATGGTTCTTATTTGTTCTGTGTCAAGTCACAGTCTTTTCAGCAGTGAGATTCCAAGTCCGGCTCAGATGTAAGGCAGGCAGCTTCTTGAGAGAAGCTATTACCTTTTGTTTATTTCTCTCATCACTTGACTTAGTGATTTTTGTTTGGCTTCAGTCAAGTCCTGACAGTATAGAATCAACCATTAAATAGGTTTTCAAAGGCATAGTTCTTGAAAGATCCCCTAGAACCACCTGAGGCTGGCTTTAGAAATAAAACAGAGGTGAGTCGACCATCTCACTTTCACTGAAGCATCTAGGCTTTAGTCCTTGAGTCTAGGAAGGGAGAGGATAGATGTGATTAGGGTCAGAAAATAAGAGCTGCCGGCCCCTTTGCTCCTCAGGGAGTGACCTCAGATATGTCACTGTAACTTCTATTGTCTCTGCTTCCATACATCGGTCTAACACTGTCAACCTTTCTTAGTTCTGAAAATCCAATGCTCCTTCTGACCCTCAGACTCATTTTGAGCTCTAAAATAAAGTTTTTACAATTGATATCTTTATTTAAATTATTTTGCAAAACTAGTTTGGAATTTGGAAATAGATAATCGACAAAGTAACCCATTACTTTCTGTGTGTAAGCAAATATATATGCTCACACAAACACACACACACACACACACACACACACATGATATTGGGGCTTCCCTGGTGACTCAGTGGTAAAGAATCCAACTGCCAATGCAGGAGATGCAGGTTCAATCCCTGGGTCTGAAAGATCCCCTGAAGAAGGAAATGGCAACCCACTCCAGTATTCTTGCCTGGGAAATCCCATGGACAGAGGAGCCTACAGTCCATGGAGTTGCAAAAGAGTTGGACAAGACTTAGCAACTAAACAACAACAACATGTATGATGTTACAGAAAAGCCCAAATGAACGTTTTGGCCAACCCGTTATATACAGATTGCAGCTTAGAGTTCCAAATTGCTTTAAGAGGGGAAAATATTGGATGTCCTTACTCAGGTCTTAGCTAATACCATCTATACACCCTTGTCTTTCATAACTGAGAAGGTTTTCTTAAATAGCAATTGTCTAAAATTTTAGTGGAAAAATAGCTATATTAACCAGTATATGTCATGCCAACAGCAGTCCCCATCTCAACGACTTAACACAATATAATTGTATGACTTGTTCACACAAAGTGTAATGTCGATCAATGGTCCTGATCTGGAAGCTCTCCTGGGAGGAAAGCTGCTCCTCCGAACTGTGACCTAGATTTCCCCCATCGTTTGATTTCATTTCAGAGCCCATGCCTATGGCCTGGAAGAAAGAGGGGCGGGGGTGCGGGGGAAGCCAAAATGAAGGCACCAGAAATCGTGTGATCCCAACCGACCTGCAAAGGATGTTGGGAATGCTATCTTCCTGTGTGGCCAGAGAGAGGAAGGAGGTTTGGCGAGCACATGGTAGTCCCTCTGCCATAGTCATTCTTTGTCCTACTTTGAAGTGATGAAGAGGCAGAGGCTGAAGGATTAGCATGAGCTCTCATGATATAGCAGGGTAGATCTCAGAAGAAAATTTGTAATTTCCATTGCACTCCTGAGACATTGATCCAAGCTTGCCTTGTCATCATTTTCTACCACAGAAACATTATTTAACCCAAGACTGTGGTTTTATTCTTTAATTTGCATCATATGCACCCAATGCCTCATGGGAATAAAATGGGAGGTCCTGTGGGTGACGGACAGCCTCTATTCACTGAGGTTGATACTTCCTTGTCAAAGGGCATCCAACCACATCTTAAGAGGTCAGAAGGGTAATAATCATAATAATAGCCAACATCTATTAAGTGCCTACTATATACTTAGCACCATGATGGGCATGCTTTAGATCTATCTTCTTTAATCTTCTCATTTAATCTCGAAGTCTTACTTTTACCCAACGACATGGAAACTGACTAATTTCTAAGGATGGATCTCTAAGTGATTTTGAGGAGAAGAACAATTCTAATTCCTTTTAAGGTGATCCCCTTGAGAACAGCAATCGTTTGGATGGATAAGTTCTGACAAGTTTGTGAAAACATCAGTCACATGACCATGGGGTCCCATCTTGAGTGGCTTGGTGGGGGCTTAGTGCTGGCCTGTCATCACTCCTGCTTGTAGATGAGGCTGCCCATCTGCTCTTCATTTTCGATGTTGCCTTCTCAGCTGGCAAGCTTGCAGTCAGAATGTTGGAGAGATCTCCCTGTCCATCTAACTGGACAAAATTGCCTGTCAAAAGTGGAGAGTGTCAGTATTGTCTTGGGGGTCTCATGTTTTGGGGAGCTGTGTTTCAGGGGACAATGATTGAAGAATAACTGGAATGGTTGGGAAAGGTGATATTAATGGGTTCAGACACCTTTATAGATAAAATTAACATCTGTAAACAATCCTTCTTACCCCTAGAGGTAGTGGCTCTTTGTCCAGCAAAAATTTGGACTCCCTATGCATTATTCAGATTTATCCTATACAAAGGTATGAGGTTGAGGGGGTGTCTGAGTCCTTCCTTCTTTTCCTCCTTCTTTTTTCAGCTCCAGAGTTGTCCCTGAAGACAAATTTCACAAGGACTTTCATGGGAGTGGGGCAGAGTTGAAGGCCAGAAAACTGTTAGAATGAGCACCTAGTCTTTAGACAACAGGTATCTCCAGCCCAAAGGATGTTTTTATTTGAGATGGACACTCAAAAAGAATTTCAGAACAGGTTTTCAAGGGAATTTCATGCCACTAAGACAATGGGAGACATTTTTTTCACACTGGAAGAACTAGGTCTAGTGACGTTTGCCTTGCTGTGCAAAGGTAATCAGAATCTGGGCCTATAGGTTTGTAAGTTACAGCCTCTGCTTCAATAAGTCATAAGGATTTCAGATGAAAATCAGTTCAGTTCCTTCTCTCAGTCGTGTCTGACTCTTTGCGACCCCATGAACTGCAGCATGCCTGGCCTCCCTGTCAGTCACCAACTCCCGGAGTCCACCCAAACCCATGTCCATTGAGTCGGTGATGACATCCAATCATCTCATCCTCTGTCATCCCCTTCTCTTCCTGCCCTCAATCCTTCCCAGCATCAGGGTCTTTTCAAATGAGTCAACTCTTTGCATCAGGTGGTCAAAGTATTGGAGTTTCAGCTTCAATATCAGTCCTTCCAATGAACACCCAGGACGGATCTCCTTTAGGATGGACTGGTTGGATCTCCTTGCAGTCCAAGGGACTCTCAAGAGTCTTCTCCAACACCACAGTTCAAAAGCATCA